CCTTTCTGGAGAAAATCTCTGGGAGAACCACAGAGACGCAGATACCATGGAAATGGGCAGGTGAAGATATTCAGGAGAGATGTGTAAGTGAGAAAGACAGGAATGTGACCCAAGTTTTGAGAACCCATACACAGTGGATGAAAGCAGGCACATGGCAAGGCAGCCCAGAGCACCTGCAGATGAACCTCTGTCCTGGACCAGATGAGGAGGGGTGCCCAGAGCAAGGTGGGGCGCGGGAGTGGGGAACACAGGAAGTCGTTTAGTAGAAAGCTTCCAAAGTCAGAGAGTGAAACCGATACATGCTTGTGTCCTGCTTGAAGAACGAGGGATCAGAAACATCTAGAGGAGTAAAATAAACTTTGGAAAGATGATTGACTTTAAAAATGGATCCTTCACTTTAAAGAGAGGAAGACACATCTGTTTCCTAGGGTTCCAGGACTTTTTGCTCGGCGGATTTCTTTTCTATAACATTTTAAGGCAGAATGACTATGCCCATTTCACAGATTAGAAACTGAGGCTCAGACAAGTGGTCCAACCAGTCCACTGAGTGGTGGACAGAGATGTCTGGCTCCAAAGGCACCGTGTTTTCCGGTCCTGCCCTGCCGCCTCCCACAGAGCTCCTTGAAACAACAGAGTACTCGAAATGCATTTGGAAGGCACTTCTCAACGGAAGAGACTCAATTTGCAAAGATTAGATTTGCACACAATTCGGAGAACATATCCATTGCCCAGAGCATTATGCAATAATGTAAGGATAAATAGCATGGGTCCCATACAAAAAAGAGGGAAATAATAGAGGAAGTGTGGTTAATTAATGCAGTAGAAACTGAAACACACAGGAGCAGAAACACATGCACTCCTGCAATATGATAGAATAAGCGGCTTCATTAGGAAGACAATTTATGTGGTAGGAGAGATAATAGCAAGAGAGAGGGAAAACGTAAAAACAAATTAGACTACTAGAAAACACCGATTTGAAAATATTTTACAATGATGGATTGGTAAGAAATCCCTCTGCAGTAAACAGCCGCGGAACTCTTGCTTTTTGAGATCTTAAAAAATAGGTCAGCTTCTCTGGGTTGGGCAGGTTTATGTGTGATTTTTTTTTCTCCTCCTCTTCGAGGGAAGGGGCCGGCTAGGGATTTTCAAAGGCTCCCTTTAGTTTAGGATTCTAAGGTTCCACTCACGGGCCTTTCTGTGACGGTCACTTTTTAAAGCTGGTTAACTCGGTGTCTCTATTTTTTTTCCCCCTCTAAATTCCCCACAGGGCTTAGAACTGAATCAGACCACATTTGGAGTCTCGTGTCGCTTGCTGGGCACCACGTTTTAAAAGGGACGTTGACCTGCTCTGCCTCCAGAGAATGGCACCAGGACAGCTGGGTGGAGGTTGCTCAGAGATCAATTCTGACTCAATACGAGAAAAGCCTATCTCCTGCTATCAGAGCCCTCTGACAATGGAACCGGCTGCTTTTTGAGACAGTTCGCTCCCAGGGATTGGAAACACTGAAGCAGGGGGTGTTTTAACAGCTGTCAAAGTTGCTTTGGAAGAGATTTTCTTTCTTTCTTTCCTTTTTTTTTTTTTTTAACTAAGTTTCCTTTCAATCCCAACACTGTATGATTGATTGATCCTGTAACTCTTCAGTATGTTTTACCAAGTCAATAGCTCCTTTTTAGGTCTTTTGTCTTCATCATTAGCCTCTTCCCTTTCCACCAAAGGGAGGGGGAAGAAAGGCAGTTGGCAAAAAAACAATGTAGAATGACAGTAACAGTTGCAACGTCAAGGTCTTATTGTCCTTTCACGGTGCTGCCTCCCCTCCACTGGGGAGGGAGGAGGCGATGTGGCCTCTAGATGATCAGAGTTAAATGTCTAGAGCCCAGTCAGGGTGATGGGGGCAGCGCTAGGACCTCCAGATTGTCCCTGGGGAGGTCCACACGCAAGAGCAAGGGCAGCCCAGGCTGACAGAGCCATGCGTCCTCTTCAAGGGTCCCCATCTTGGTTAATGGCACTCTCCCCATCCAGATTTGTGACCCTCTCTGTACCCCCATCCCACCCCACTATACTCAGTCCTCCTGCCCACTTCCCATCCATCTTCACGACCTCTTTGTCCTCCAAGCCCCTCCCCCATCTGACATCGGAACCTGCATCCAGGCTACATGGGCTCCCTCCAATGTGCTGATGCAAATCCAGGCCCCTCCGTCTCCCCACTGCTCACACCGCGGCTGGGATGAAGGACCTTGGCCTCAGCCCCATCTGTCCAGGCACCCGTGTGCTTCCCCAGTTCTGTCTGACTTCCTGCCCCCATCCCAGCCCCTGTCCTCTCAACCCACTCACACTGACCTTCTTTTACCCATGAGTCCTCCCCACATATAGGGCTTTTGCCCTGTTCTTGTCTCTGCCTTGGGCAAATGCTCTTCTACCCTCTTGGCCCAGTAAAGGCTCACTGGTCCTTCCCATCCCAGGTCACTGGTGCTTCCTCAGGGAGGCCTCTCTTACCTTCCTGACCAGATCATGTCCCTGGAGGCAGGCCCAGTGCCCACACCTCTCCTCCCCAAAACTTCTCCCATTCACGGATGTCCCTCTGTTTCTGCGATGACTTCCTCTCCGGACTGGTGGCAGCCATGCCTGTGTGCTTAGCATGGAACCCCCTGAATTAATGAATGAACAGAAGCTGTGTGAGCTACTTTGTCCTTCCAGTGGTTCTCAGAGCTTTAAGAACCACCTGGACCCTGGAGGTGGTCATCAATACGGCACTCCAGCCCTTGGGTCTCCTCTCCTACCACCCCCAAACCTCTGTAACTACCAAGTCAGAAGGTCTATTGCTTGGTTAACCTTGTCCTCACATTTCAGTCTTCTTTGTAAGGCAAGTACGGGAGGTGAGAGGGTCCCTAACACTTGAGTTTAGCCAACAGTTCAATCTATTCCTAAAACTCTCTCTCTAGCAAGAAACGTCTGACTTACAAAAGAATACTAGGCTTCAGAGGGTGGAGATGGTCGAAAGATTTAGAAAGGAAAGGGAATGAATTATGTACCAGGTGCCATACACTACTGGTGCCTTGGCCCATGGGGTTCTACTGTCTGAAATGAGCTCCTTGGCCTCTTGTCAAAATCCTAGTCATTCAGCAGAAGCAAGCACAGGAGGCTCTTAGAAGCCTTCACTGGCCTCCCCTTGCAGAGTGGCTTCCTCATCCTCTGAGCTGTCCGGACACCTTTTCCTTATATCCACCATCATGTCGTCTACCACGTCACCTTGTAAAGCTCTGCTGCTATGATGCTGCCGTTACTGGGCTGTGAGCATTTTGAGAGCAATACCCTTATCTTCACAGCTTTATCCCCAGGGCCTGTCTCCATACCTGACTGTATCAGTCAGGACTTCCGGTAGCGAGCCCTACAAATCAACTTGATCTCCTCACCTGAGCAAAAAAGGACGAGCCACTCTGGTCTGCTGAACATGCTCCAGCCTCTCGGCAGTTCCTCCAATTTCTCAAAAACATGGCAAACTCGTGGGCAAGCCCTTCACAGGGAATAAGCCAAGAGCTGTGCCCTGACCACGGAATGGTCAGCTCCAGAGGAGAGGGAGAGAGGGGGACAGGGAAGGATGGCAGGGAGGTCCGTGCTGAAGACCAGGCCAGCTCCATGTGATTTAGTTTGGGGCCACGCCCATGGTTCCAGACTCACCATGGCCAAGAGTGCCTCTGTCCTTCCCATCTCCCTCTCCTGCCTCTCCTTTCTTTGCTCAGCTCTGTCAATTCATGAAACTCGGGAAATGGGGCCTCACACTGGGCAGCTCTATGTGAGCACAGGGCTGGACAGCGCCACGAGCCCCACGCCCGAGTAGCGGGTCACAGGAAGGTGCCTGTGAAGTTTCAGAAGCACGGCTGGAGACCCCTCCTCCCTGCCAGCATCTACCCCACTCTTTCCTCAAGGTGTCCTCACTTTGTAATTGCTCCATTTCTTTTCTTTGTTTTCCTAGTTAAAGGCTAACAAAGAATGAATTGGGTATCTCAACCGTTTGTGGTCATCATTAATTTCATGGTCCTCTGCATTTATTAAGTCTTATTTCCTCTCTATAATCTCCTTTCCCCTGATATTTGTAAAAGCACATCTTATTCTCCTTAATTGCTTTGGCTGGTGTGATCCAATTCTGATTTTTTTCGCTACTCTTATCTTTTCCTGGGAAGCTTTAACTGATGCGGCATATTCTTGTTTAATTCTCTCTCTTTTTTTTTCTCAGCAGACAGGAGAGTATTTCTTTCTCTGGAGCTTCCCAGCAGTCTTTGGGGAAGTTGTACTGATTGCATTTTGTTTCTTCTCTAGAAGAAGTGCTGGGCTGGTCTTTAATTATGGGGGGGGGACCTCCCCCCTTGGCCACACGCTTCTTCCCTGAAAACCATCCAGCTTTCTCCAGTCCTCCCTCCACAGCCAAACCAAGTGCTCTTTGCCCCTCCGTGACAGATAATTCTTCCCCTGGCTCTCTCCCTGCTGGAACAGAAGGTTGTGCCTGGGGCAAGAAGGAAGGGGGAACAGGCACAGTCAGATGGGGTCCCTATTAGCAGCTCTGGTACACAAACCGATGGTGAAACTAACAACTGAAATGGTGCTCCGTACCTCGCGGGGTCATGGCCGAGGATAATTAAGTGCTCATTACCAATGACAGTGAAACTCCACTCCTGGGCTGCCAAGAGTCCTATCTAAATGTCTACCTGTCTATTGTCTGTCTCTCCATCTCTGACCCGCAGGCATCACAATTAGAGCTTCTCCTGTGTATTTTGCTTATTCTTCTTATTTAATATTGATTTCATTCTGCCTTGACTTGGGGTTAGCCATTTATGGGTCTCTCTCTCTCCCATCTCCCTCTCTAACTTGTCACTTCACCCCTTTGCAATGGAAACGTGCTTTGGATCCCATGGTCCCCATTTCTAGTGGCATCATTGTCTAAACTATTCTAGAAATATCTCCCACCTCTCTTCGCCCTCAGCCTCCATCTGTGATAGTTCACTGACTTGGATCGTTGATGTGTACCCCTTTCCTTTCACACTGGATGCCCTGTTAAATTCTCCCGGAAGGTAGTGGACCCTAGCGGTCAGCCACATCCAGTCTCCTTCTCTCAATGATCACTCTTGGTTTTGTTTCCATTATCTGTGTCTCCCCAGATGCTGAAAGGAAGCCAGTCCTACCCAGCACTCTAGGAATAGAGTATGTGGTTCAGGCCCAGCCCAGTCCATGTAGCTCCATCTTCTGGCTATTCTCACTGGTTCAGCAGTGAGTACATGACACTGTTCAGACCAACGAGCCAAGAGAGGGACACTTATTCAAGACTTCTGGAATGAAAAGCTTCCTTGCTCTTCTGAGAAAGTTTCCATGAGCGGGCCATGAGGTGCCGGTGACTGTTTACCACCATATGGAAGAGCCCACCTGAAAATGAAGACAGTACAGAAAAAGCAGAGCCAAGAGCTACAGAAAGACAGAGTCCCAATTTTGTTATCTGAGCTCACAGACTCAGCTGTGCCTGAACTGCTCCTAGACCTTTATCGTATACCCATATGACCCAGAAGCAAATCCCACTGGCACGGCCTTTGAGATGAACACTTAATGCAACCCTTTCTTGTCTATCTGCTGATGTTTACCTGGTCCTCTGGCTCAGACCGTCACCACAGCCCTCACAGGGCCTCCAGTCCTATCCTTTATGTAGCCAGAGACCCTATTAAAATCCGAAGTCAGATAACACCAGTGCTATGCTCAGAAACCCCTAAAACTCTCCATTCAATCCCAAGATCCTTAGCTTGTCTCTCAGGCCCTTCCTGACCTGCCTGTTCCCCTCTGACCTCATCTCTTACCACCCTCACCCCACCTCAGCCCACTCCATCCTCACTAACCCTTTAACTCCTACCTCAGGGCCTTTGCACTTGCTGTCAGAAACGCTCTTTCTCAGACCATTGCATGATGTACTCCTTTCCTTCAGGACTCTCTGCTCAGCTGTTGCCTATTCAGTTAGGCCATCCCTGACCTTCAGCCCTAAAATGGCACTTCCCCCATCACTCTGCAACCTCTGGTCTTGCTTTATTTTTCTTTATAGCACTTAGCACCACCTGAAAATGTATACATTCACGTGGCTATTCTTCCCTGTATCTCCCCCATTAGAATATACATCCTATGAGAAATGGGGGCCATTCTGATGGAATTCTTAGAATAGCAACTAGCACCTAGCGGATACTCAAAAAAGTGCTGTCAGCTTACAGACTGACTGACTGGATGAATGCAAGAGCTAATCATCTCCCTATTTTGAGTAAGGTCTTTTCTTTTTTTTTTTAGGGAACATGCTCAGTATTTCACCACTAAGCATGACGTTTGCTGTTTTTGTGTGGACAAATGTTTTCAATTCTCTAAGGTACATGCCCAGGAGTGGAATTGCTAGATCATATGGTAACTTTATGTCTAGCTTTTTAAAAAACATTTTTTATTGAGGTATAATTGACATATAACATTGTATTAGTTTTAGGTGGACAACATAATGATTCAGTATTTATACGTTGTGCAAAATGCTCACCACCATAAGCCTGGCCACATCCATTGCTCTGCACGGTTATGCAAGGCTTTGTTTTTTTTTTCTCATGGTGAGGATTTTGAAGATCTAGTCTTTGCATCTCTCAAATATGCAATTCAGTGTTATTAACTCTGGTCACCATGCTGTATATTACATTCCCATGACTTATTTATTTAATCACTTATTTGACCCCCTTCAAATACTTTGAGTAAGGTATTTTTCATTTGCCTTTGCGCACCTTGCAGACAAAGTATCCTAACACAGGCTTTAAACAGTATTTGCTCTAAAAGCGGACAAATGGATAACTTAGCGTTGGTCAGATTGTAAGTTACATCTCCTATAATAATGATTCCTGGCCCCTGACAGTCCCTTTTGAGTCCCAAGGCTCATACCAGGCTCACATTGGTCTTTGCCCCCTCTTCCTTGCCCCCAGGCAAAGTGGGGTTTCGAGGTGTTCAACAACAGAGCAGGGACCAGATCTCACACTTCCTGTTTCCTTGCATGTTTCAGTTGTGCCCTTCTGTCCACAGATCTGCAACTTCCTAACACCCACCCACCCACAGGCTTGGGGGAAGGCTGTGAAATTCTGGGCCATGTGGTCTCTATTTATCTAACATTTCCAATTCCCTCTTCTCTAAAAGCCAATAAAACTGAATTTTTCCCACATGAGATTGTGGACTTTTGGAGGAAAAAAAAAAGCAAGCATATGGCTCTCAGGAAATCAAATCTGCCTTGTGAGATTTAAAAAAAAAAAAAAAAATTCCCTCTGTAAGTCAGTCCATGGCACCACACTCTTTGCAGCTGCCTCTGACATGTTGGGGACGAGGACAACAGACATGTTCTCCCGCCCTTGAGTGGCCATAATACATGGCAAAATCTCACTCCGCAATCCTCTTCCAGAGTGGCTTTCCCCTTCCCCAGCTATTCCCCGAGGACAACATTAGCTCCCTTTTTAATTCCTTTCCCCTTGCTGCACACTCTGATGTTACTTGCCAACCCCCAGTGGACATGTGGAGACTTACTCAGTTTCACATGTAATAGATAAAACAGCAGGGGCTTCTCATTGGAAAACGTTTTCCAGGCTGCAAAAGGTGCAGCAAACCACAAAGCTGCCAGTATGGTTCAGAGTTTATTAATACAGGCTTGGCAAGCGTTGGTATCTGCCCCTGCCCCGGCCCCCTGGGGGGTGGGAGGATGGATTAGACAAAACCCATAGGGGGGCGGAGGCCTCAGAGGCAGCCTTCTTTCCAGGGACCTTCTGGAGACCCCCTTTGTTGTTCTTGTTTTGGTTGTTTAAAAAATTAATGTATAATTAGTATCTGAAGAATGGTGCGTACTTAATGTACACAATTTGTTGAGTTTGGACGTATGCCAACACCTGTGACCCCGATCCCCGTGATCAAGGGAACAGACGTATCCAACACCTTCTACAGTATTCTTGTGTCCCTTTGTTTTTGGTCATAAGAATGCCTGACATGATGCTACAGCCATTCTAGAAAACGGCATGGAGTTTCCTCAAAACATTAAAAATAAAACTACCATGTGATTCAGTAATCCCACTTCTGGGGATATATGTGAAAGAAATGAAATCACCATCTCAAAGGCATATAGGCACCCCATGTCCATCCCAGCACTACTTACACTAGCCAGACATGGAAAAAAAAGTTCTTTCATTGATGAATGGTTGATATACACCATGGAATATTACTGAGCCATTAAAAAGAACAAAATCGTGCCATTTGTATCAGGGTGGATGAAACGTGAGGACGTGATACTAAGAGAGCCCAACGAAGACGGATACAGCATAATCATACTTCAGTGTGGTGCTACAGGACTCGTGAGGCTAAGTCACAAAAAGCTGGGCAGGTGTGCTGGCTCCTCTTGGAACCCTGGCTCTCTGCTGGCCCACTCCTGGGACACTCCTTCTGAGAAGGAGCCCCCCACACTGTGAGGACCCCAGGCACATGCAGAGGCCACGTGGGGCGCTGTGGTCCATGGTCCCCCAGCCTTCTCAGTGCAGGCATTGAGCCTACCAAAAAAGTCACCAGTATCACTTCAGTACATTGGGTCTCACTGGTGGGGCTGCAGATATGGCAGGGCACGGAAGAGTCATGCTCACGGTTCTGCAAGCATGATACGGTGGTGGTGGTTTTATTCTACTATGGTTGTGGTGGCTCGCCATGCACCCCAGGACCCACTCCACACCCCACCAGCCTCACCTCCCTTTCCACAGTCAAATCTAGAGTAGACTGCAAAGAGGCTTCCTTTCCCCTTGCTTTCAACTCAGCAGAAAGGACCAGACAGCAAGGCAGGCTGCATTGAACAACCCCCCCCACCCTGTGACTTCCCATCCGGCCAGCCTGCCTGCCCCTCCCTTTTCTCCCCACTTAATCCTCCCTGTCCCCCACACGCACCAGGCATGGCTTCTGCCCACAGGCTCGGGAGGACTCCTCCCCCATAGTCCTACTCGACCGCCTCTTAGGTCCTTTCAGTCTTCACTCGCCACCACCTTTGCGGCTGTCCTTGCTCAAAGACCAAAGGCCCCAGTTGGCCTCCACTCCCCTTGCTTACCTCGTTTTCCTCCCGTTGTCACACCCCAAATACTTCGATGTTACTTGTCCATGTTGTTGAGTATCTGTGCCCCTGAGAGGGTGAGCTCCATGAGTCCATAGGGCCCCCAGGGCCTGGGAGGGCCTGGAACAAGGGTAGCAGCCTGTCAATAAATACTCCCGGAAAAAAACACATGAATACTATGAAACAAAGTGTCGGTTTTGCTGTTATCCTTAGAAGCAAACAAATACATGCCTGTCACAGTCCTAGTTCTCAAGTGAAAGATGAAGAACCGACAGCCTTTAGAAAATAGTGAGTTTCATCCTTCTCTGCAACCTCTGATGGCAGCTGCCCTGCCTGCCTCTCTCCCCTGCCAAACCGAAGGGACCCCGTTCCACCAGAAGCTCCCTGGTGTCTGAGCTGCCCGCCTGCTGAGCCCTGCGCCTCCTTGTCTTTCACTGACCTCTTAAAAACCTTGTATTCTGCCGGTGTCTCAAGGTCCAGCTTGGGCACCACCTCTCCCAGCTGGAGTGCCTTTGAGCTGGGAATTCCACCTGTACCAGTCTGGGGTTCTTCTCAAGGGTACCTGGCTTCCTGGGAGCCTGTCTCCTCCCTCCCCTAACAGAGGTCCCCGTGAGGAGGGGGCCGTATACATCACCCCTTGCCCTGGGCAGCCTCAGATACAGATGGGGTATGGGGAGTTGGAGGCCACAGTGGAGGGAAGGGGTGGGAAGGGAGGTCGGGAGAACACCATGCTCAGACTCAGAATGGCCAGAGTAGTGGCAGAGCTAAATGACACAACCCTGGTGACAGTATAAAGAACATAGGTCTTAGAGACTCTGGACTCATCTCCCGGCTGAGTCTCCCCAGAAATTCATTTAGCTTCTCCAAGCTTTGGTTTGCTCAACTACAAAAATGCTTATACTGCAAAGATATTTTGCAAAAACGACAGAATGTCATTTTTGAGGGTGGAAATGCGTATAACCTGAAAACACTATGCCAATACACACTGTTGGCAAAGGTGAGGTGTTCTAACCATCGGTAGAGAAATTAGCAAGGGTGCAGTTCAGCTTCTGGCCAGAGGGTGGCAGAAACAGGCAGAGACTTTGCCCAGAGGTCCTTAGAAACCGGGCAGCCCTAGAAGCTGCCGGAAGGGGATGGATTTCCTGGGTTGCCCTGAGGTGATGGTTCTCTTTTCCGCAGCTGACCCCGAAGCAATTAGCCTCTCTCCCGTTGTGGGATCCCGCCAAGGCTGAACTGGATCGCAGAAACCTGCCCTGGCTGGTCTCCCCGCCCGTTTCTCATGGCCACTCCCACCAGTCTGGCACTGTCCCTACCCTTCCAGGGTGCAGTGTAGCTTTCTCATGGGTCACTTGATCTGGCCCTCACCACGACCTTTTGATCTCAGTCGAGCAGGCAGAGGGATGCTGCCTCCCACACCGCACGGTTAGAGACGGGACCCAGACTCACACCCTGGAGACCACACAGGTGGCAAGTGGGAAAAGTTCCAAAGCAAATCTTACCAGCGGGTCTTCCAGCTGGAATTCTGTCACACCAACCCTTCCTTCACCTTCTCTGTTCAGTTGTTTCTACAACCAGCAATTATTGGGCTCTTGCTGTGTGTTGGAGCGCCCGCCTGGGCTTCCAGCCATGTAGGCCGCTCTGAGTCCCACCCCGACCTCTGCCCTCCTCCATGCTCCTGCACCCGGCTTCAGGATAGGCCTCAGTCTATCGTCTCTACTCCTTCTTGTGTCATTGTGTTCCCGTGTGTTCCCTTGTGTCCTTGTGTCCCAGCCTGGCAGCCCAGAGGTGCTCTGCCTCACAGCTCCTTAGATCACCGACTCCCAGGCCTTCTAGCCGAACAACCCTGAGGAAGAAATCGGGGAAGGAAAGGTACAAAAGTCAAAAGCAAAAGAGGCAAGTAACCCAGGCCTAAGGAACCTCATCAAATTTCCTAGTTCCCGCTGGCCTAAAAATGCCCGACTTGCTTGCTGGTGAGTGTTCAGAGGCCCCGAGAGCCTCAGGCTTTTCCAGGCTTATTTCTGAGGGTGAAGCTTCTCAAGTTTGTCCCCTGGCTTCTTCACTTGAGTAGGCCCCTCTACGAGGAATGGGGCGGCAAACAGGAAAGAAAGCTCCCAGCTGTTGAGGGTCTCTCTGGGGCCAGGCACCGCCCTGGATGCCCAACACGTCACCTCACTTGACTTTCAAAACGAACTGGAGAAGGAAGCCTTTGTCCTCTCTCACAAATGTGGAAACTGAAGTTCAGCGGCCCGAGCTGCATGCTTGGATCCGTATGTCTGGTAGGGGGTGGGCTGGGTCGGTGTGGCTCAGAGCCGCTTCTCTACAATCACATGATTACACGGTTGGCCACCGGCCGTCGGCACCCCTACTCTCAGAAGCCTTTACCCTCTGGGGGACTTCCAAGCTGGTGATGCTCATCTCAGGAACCCAGACTTCACACAGAAACGGTTTCCGTGGGCTGATTCTGTCCTCCCTGCTGTGTGGGCGGGAGACACAAAAAGATAAGAAAATTCAGTTTTCACCCCGGAGGAGGTAAGACTTAGGAGGAGGAGGAGGCTCTCAGAGAAGGGGGGGTCCCCCAGCATGAATATGCCTGAGGGGCCACCTTTTCGAGAACGCCCCACTGGTTCTGACGTGACTGTCTGGATACGACCCAGCTGACACGGACCGGTCCGGGCTGCCAACAGACTCAGGGTGTGGCGTTTCGGATCACCCCTGAAGACAAGGCATCCTTGGGTTTTAGGAGCAAATACTACATGTGGCCTCCTTTCTCATGCTTCTCCCCTGAGCTTGCAGGAAGGTATGAAGAGGGGCCTGTGGGAAGCACCAAAGGGAGGAGATGGAGGCCTCGAAGGAAGGCAGGACCAAACTTAGTGATTCCTAAGTCAAGGGAGGCCAAGGTGACCCTGAGGTCTCAGTAGGAAGAAGACAGTGTCCCAGAGGCTGGGGATTCGGAATTGAACTGGGCCTCCTGGACTCAAGCCCCTCCACTGAAATGTGGAGACCAGATCTCTCCCTGAGTTTCCTTCTGCTCTAAAATCTGACAACTGATGACGTTTACCTGGGTGTGAACTGCCACAGAGTCAGCACGGCCTGGATCTCACTAGTGTGTTCCCTTGACTTGGAGTTAGGGCGGTGGGGGTCAGGGCCAGAGGCATGTCCCCGGTCAGGGATAGGAGCTGGTCCTAAAGAAACCTTTGAGAATGTTTTTTTTCTTCCTCCTCCTGCTCCACTTCTTACTGCCTTCCCTTTAGTCTACTTCCTCGGGAGCATTAGTTGGGTAAGAAAAAGGGTCCATGAATTCAGAACAGGAGAAAGCCCAGATGTCAGCAAGGGTGGTGAAGGAGAAACTGGGATGAGTCACCGGCCAGGTTTTCCCAGAACCTCTCACTTAAAGACAGGGACGGCTCCCACCCACAGTGCTGGAACTTCCACTTGAGAATCAAAGTGTAAAGCAATTTCCATGGAAAAGCAGTATCTGTTCAAGTTAGAAATACTAGAAGCGCAGCAATAACCAAGTTCAACAGAAAATAGCTATGATCAGCCCACACAGGGACCAACCCCTGCTGGACAACCTTCCAGAACACAAACCCAACACACTCTTTGAGAAGCAGAAATGGGATCATACTGTTTATTGTGACCTCCCCCCATATTCAGTTTGTCCACATCATGATTTGTTTAACCAGTTTCCTCCTCTGGCATGTTTAAATCACTTCCACTTTTGACTTGTAAAAAAATACTACAGTATACAGACTTATAGGCAAGTCTTGTAAGTCCTTCCTTATCTCCAGAGGATAAAATCATTGTTGTGGACTTGTTTGGTCAAAATATCAGTATTTTTGATGCTTGTGATTCCCACTGGCAAATTTTCCACCAAAAATTCTACACCCGTCTGCATTTCTTCTGGCCATGCACAAGGGGGTCTGTTTCCACCATCATAACACTGTATATTTTAATTTTTTTAAATGAAAGATGAAAATCTATGTTAAAACATGCTTTTTTGATTTATTACTAAATTGATTACTTTTTCATGGCCTAATTGTTCACTTGTATTTTTCTTCTTTTGTGAATTGTCCCTTTTACAACCTTGACCCATTTTTAACATTAAGGTGTCCATCTTTTCTTTCTACATCTACACAAAAAAATTTTAATTTTATTAACCTCTGTCATACATCTTGCAATTTATTTGCCCTTTTACTCCTTTGTCTTTTAGTGTTTCTTATGTGGTTTTTTTTTTTAAGATTTTATTTATTTATTTGACAGAGATTACAAGTAGGCAAAGACGCCGGCATAAAGAGATGGGGGAGCAGGCTCCCTGCTGAGCAGAGAGCCCAATGCGGGGCTTGATCCCAGGACCCTGAGATCATGACCTGAGCCCAAGGCAGAGGCTTAACCCACTGAGCCACCCAGGCTCCCGTTATGGGTTTTTGTGTACGAAAGTTTCAAACTTTACATAGATCCATCCATCCCTTCCTTTTTCATGGTTCTTGCCCTTGAAGCTATGCTCATTACCCAGAATTAATGAGATGGGAGAGAAAATTATTGTTTCAAAAAGAAGGACAGAAAGCCACTGTCCAGTTGCTCCATGGTAGCATAGGAAAAATGATCAGAAAAGTGGGAAGAAGGAGCGGAGGGAACTGCCTTTAAAAGCTGAGGGAAGTTACGCAATGGTCACCACCACGTGGTCCATGCCAGACCTGTCTGAAGTTGGACAGCTAGCTAGTGGGTGGGCCACTTGCAAGTCGGAAGCTCGATGCTAATGGTTTCTCAGACCCTGCATACACTTATTTTTTAAAATAATTTTGTAACTGTCCCTCAGAACAATGTATTACTTAAAATATAACCCATGAGAAATTCTACTAGTTACCAAGCATAATTAGATTAAGTCCTTTGAATCTGCTTGCTCAACTATAAACTTTTACTGCTTGACCAGACATATTTTGCCTTCCTTCTTGTTTATCTACAAGGCATATGATTAATGTGTAGCCTTTTCCCGCTCTTCTGATTACTGTCTGTCTCTAATAAAAACGGGACTGAGGAGTCGTTTGGGGCAACAGTCTTTTTACTGTCGTCCCCTGCTCCCTTTCTCTTGCAGCTGACTTGTTTGTGCCTCATTCTTCTCTCATGCGCCCCGTCAGGAAGCGGCAAGTGGCGCCCAAACAGGGACCAGAAATGAAACAGGGGAAGAAGCCCCAATGTGAGTTTTTGCGTGGCCGTGCCTTTTTCCCAATGGTGAGTTGTGGGTACTTATTGCAGGGTATGGGTAATCTAGAGAGCACAAACGATTACCGCCCTTACGTATGCTTACTGAGACAGCTCCTAAAGGCGGGAGGAGCAAAAGTCAGCAAGAGCCAACTCGTGGAGCTTTTAAAAGTAATTAAAGAACATTGCTCCCGGTTCCCTATGTTAGGGACTTTAGATTTACAGACATGGGAGAAAGTAGGTCAAAACTTAAAACTTTTGCATGCTAAAGAAAAACCAATTCTGGGCGCCTAGGTGGCTCAGTGGGTTAAAGCCTCTGCCTTCAGCTCAGGTCCTGATCTCAGGGTCCTGGGATCAAGCCCCCAGTTGGGCTCTCCGCTCAGCAGGGAGCCTGCTTCCCCATCTCTCTCTCTGCCTGCCTCTCTGCCTACTTGTGATCTCTCTTTCTCTGTCAAATAAATACATAAAATCTTAAAAAAAAAAAAAAAGAAGAAGAAGAAGAAGAAAAAGAAAAACCAATTCCAATTACTATGTGGTCTACTTGGACCCTCATTTGCTCCATTTTGGAGCCTTTACAAACCCCTGATTCAGAGAGCAATAATGAATGTTCAAGAGAAACTAAAAAAGAGGAACCTGAACATGCCATCCAGGAGGAGAAAGAAATTACTGAGGCCATCATAAAGGAATATATAAAGGAGGAATCTCCTCCTCCTCTTCCAATAACAGAACAAAAGGTGCAAATGGCACTGCTGCCATTGGCTCCGCCGTCCTATGAGAATGCACTGTTTAATGGAAAAAATAAAAAATCCAAGAACAACTCTATGCCCCTATTCAGCAGGAAGAAGTTACAAAAGATGAGACCTTCCACCTTCAACAACCTTATAAAAATTTAAGGGTCAAAAATTATTTTTAAAAAATGTTGCGATGGTCTTACCTCAAAAATCATATCTCCTACCGGTCTCTCAGCACAAAAATCAAAATTAATGGCAGTTATTACATTGTTTCAATATGTTTCTTCTACATTTAATCTGTTATCTGATTCTTTATAAACAGTGTATGTTTTACAGCATATTGAAACTACTACTGTTTCTACATCTGATGTAGATATGATGGCACTCATGGTAGCTGTAAGTCTTCCTGGATGTTATGCACGGATAGATAACTTTACTTATTGGGCTTATATACCCAATCCTCCCCTGCTCCATCCAGTAGAGTGGGGGAAAAAATATAGTAACAATTTATTTAAATGCCTCAAAATGGGTACCTGGAATTTTGGATCCTAGATTGCCACTATTGCCCCTAGAGGAGGGCACAAACATTAATCTTACCTTAGGATATCAAAATAGACCAATATGTATTGGCAATCATTCCAGTTGTCTTATCCCTGATGATCAAAGATGGTTGGTGGACTTTCCTACTAATAATTATCTGATGAAAGTTCAGTTACATTTACTCTCCACTAAAGGATTCCTAGCCAATGAATATCGGGGTCCTAGCTATAACACAGCAGCACCCCCTACTCCTGAATGCACACTGACACAAATGTGGTCTAATAAGAAAATTCGCCCTTGATGAGAAGATTGTCAAGCTTCTCACCCCAGTATCATTATTAATGATTCCTATGGGATTATATGGGACTGGTCCCCTAAGGGGATGGCAGTCACCAATTGCACTGGGAGACCCTGCTCCTCTCATCAAAATTTTAAATAGCAAGTTTTTGGTGATCTCATTTTACCACAAACCTTAACCTCAGGAGATGAGCCTCTGACCTGGCATGGGCAAGGACTTTCGGCGCCATCCCCTTTTGTTAATTATCATAAAAGACAAAAAAATTTATAAAAAGTCACCACTGCTTTAAATCACATAAGAGTTTGGAACAGCTCTTACATTTATCAGTCTAATAACTATACATTCTCCCTTTTCCTGTTTAAAAAAGAATGGGTAAGAGCATGTGTTAGAGATCCCCATGTTTTTGTTCTTGGAAAAATGACTTTTGATCATAACAATAGAAAAATAAACTGTCCCAGATGTAAAATGTTCACCTGTGTAAATAAAAATGTTTATACAGACAATTCTATCATTCTCATAGCTAGAAGAAGAATAGGCCTCTGGTTACCGGTGAAATACCACCGTGGTTGGGAAAGCTCTCCAGATAGATATACATGTACTTTTAACAGTTTTAAAGGACTGGGTCCATAGAACAAAAAGATTTCTTGGGTTGCTTCTAACAGCTATTTTAGGAATGATAGCCATTACTGCTACAGCTACCACTGCAAAAATAGCCTTGCATCAAACTATATAAACCACACAATTTGTACAAAAGTGGCACGAAAATGCAAGCAAAGCTTGGAATCAACAAATGATCATAGATCAAAAATTAAATAAAAGTATCTCTGATTTAGATGCAGCCACAATATATATAGGAGATGATCTTCAAAATATAAAGCTTAGGCTTCACATTTTATGTGACTGAAATGTTTCTTCCTTCTGTGTTACTCCCCATGCCTATGATAAATCAGAAATATCATGGATCAAAATTCGCTGTCATATTACCAATCATTATGGGGATAAACTAACTTTAGATATTAAACAACTTCAAAATACTATTCAAGGCATTACTCACTCATTACAATCAGTTCCAGAAATAAGTTTCGCACAAAAAATTAACAATATTCTGTCTAATTTAAACCCTTCTACTTAAACAAATTGGTCTTGGCATTATAGGTAAAATGATTATTCTTTTTATTGCTATAATCTTTTTATACTTAGTCCTCAGATGCACTCGAAAAATCCCTCCAATGACTGATGAATCAAAAAGTTACAAAATCAACTTTCCCACTTTTGCACAAACAAAAAGGGGGAAATGTAACTGTCCCTCAGAATGTATTACTTAAAATATAACCCATGAGAAATTCTACTAGTTACCAAGCATGTTTAGATATAGCCTCGAGAAAAACACATACTGGCAACAGGCTTCTGGGGGAGAGGACGATATACGGTCTTGAAGCCGAGCAGCTGGGGATGCCCGGCCCGCTCAGGGTGGACCGCCGCCTGCTTCATTTTTCTGTTATCTCCCCTCCCCTCCAAGAGCCCTGGTGGCTAATTAGATTAAGTCCTTTGAATCTGCTTGCTCAACTATAAACTTTTACTGCTTGACCAGACATATTTTGCCTTCCTTCTTGTTTATCTACAAGGCATATGATTAATGTGTAGCCTTTTCCCGCTCTTCTGATTACTGTCTGTCTCTAATAAAAACGGGACTGAGGAGTCGTTTGGGGCAACAGTCTTTTTACTGTCGTCCCCTGCTCCCTTTCTCTTGCAGCTGACTTGTTTGTGCCTCATTCTTCTC